CAGTGAAGATGGCTGGAGAAAACATACAAAACCTTCACTTTAATCTAGACCTGGGGGCGTGGCCCAAATGGTAGAGCACCTGCCTAACCAGCACAAGGCCCCAAGCTGATACTCAGTACCACCAAAAAAGTTTGCCCATAATTTGTAGTGACACTCAACATCCAGGCAACTGGCCACATCTCCCTAGTTACTTCACCACCTTAGTCTGCAAAATGACTATTCCTCCTGTCTCCCCAGATCTCCAATGCACCCCTCCTACCTTCGATTGCTCTGTTGATGGCTTCACTAGAAAAAGAGACGAAATCAGAAGAGAATTCTTCCCTGGACGATGTACCAGGCTACCTACATCTGCTTGCATACATTCTTCCTTCTCTCTTTTTCCAATGGGGACACCATCCCACATCCCTGCTGCCATTTCAGTCCTGTCTTGCTATCCAGGACTCTACTCTTACAGTTATCCCCTCTGATAACTTTTTTTGAAGTGGGTCTTACTAGATAGCCCAGGGTGGCCTCAAAATCATGATCCTCTAACTTTGGCCTCCATAGTGCTGGGATTACCAATATACGCCCTCACACCCAGCTCCCTCTGACAATTCTCAAACTAGTATCTCCAGCCTGAGCTCTGACTTCACACATCTGCCTGCTAGCCCAATTTCTCCTCTTGGATGAATACTAAGTATCTCAAACCAGGATTTCCAATACAGGATTATTAATTCCCTACGCCTCTTTCCTATGCCTTCTTCACAGCTCAGCAAGTGGCAATGATGGCACCATCCTTCACTCTATGCCTTAAACCAAAATCTTGGGGTCCCCCTCCCCAACATCCAATCTACCAGCCAGTATTTGCATGCATGCATGTGTATGAGTGTGTGTTGCTAGGGATCAAACCAAGAGCCTAGAAAAGTGATCTAGGACTGAGTTACACCTCAAGCTCCATCAGCAAGTCTTGATCATTCTGTCTTCTAACTGCATGGGGAATCCCACATTTCTCTCCACCTCCACTGCGACCTCTATAGTCCCCATCGTCTTTGCCTAGACTACCGCAGTGACCTACACAGTGTGCCTACTCCTACTTTTGCCTTCGGACTGCCTAGCCTCAGTAGCACAGCCAGCTTGGCTTTTTCTGAACGTAAGCCAAGCAATGACATTTCTCTGCTTGAAATCCTCCAACAGCTTTCCTTCCCAGAATAAAATCCAAACTCCTCATCACACCAACTAAGCTCCAGGCCTTTCTTCTCCCCTCTTCGTCCATCCACTCAGAACCCTGGCTTTCAGGCTCTTGCTCCATGACGCCAAGGTCACTATGCTTTAGAACTCTGCACTCATTGTTCGCTCCATCTGGAAGCTCTTCCCTTGGATCCTTACACGCTGCGCTCCTTCACATCACTCAGGCCTCAGACATCCCCTCCCCAGAGAGACCTCCCATCTTAAATACTGCCTGCTCCTTGTGGGCTGGAGGTGTGGCAATGTGGCTCAGAGGCACAGCACTGGCCTACCATGCACAAGCCCTGACGGTTCGATCTTCACTCACTCCAATATCCACACGGCACTCCTCATTAACTGAAATTACATTATCTACTCATTTGCTTATAGCAAACGAAGATATTATCTGTTTTCTCCACTGGAATGGGAGCTCCATGAGCTCAGAATAGTGCTTAGCACAAAAAAACATGCTTAATAACTATCTGGAGAATTAATGATAATTATCTGTATGATAAAACTCAAACTAATTTATTTAAAAATTTGACTGTGCATACTACTGTGACACTATGAATAAATTTGACCTTTGGGAGGAAAGTCTAGAAGACACAGAAAAAACTACAAGTAATTGTGATGGGGTAATTTACACCATCCTACTTTAATGTTGTGTTGCTGCAACAACTTAAAAAAAAAGTGCCTTTTCTGTCTTGATGCTACACTTGAGTTCTGAGCAGGATAAAAGCAGCCCCTGATGCAGGGGCTCGCCTAGGACTAGTAACTAAGGCTTGATGCTCTCTTCTTTTTGTTTTTATCTGTTTTGGTTTGGCTTTTGAGACAGGGTCTTACTATCTAGCCTAGGCTGGCCTCAAACTCACTATGTAGCCCAGGCTGGCCTCAAACTCTCAATTCTCCCATCTCAGTCTCCCAAGTGCTGGGATTATAAGTAGGCATCACTATTCCTGGCTGATGTTCTCTTTCTTTTTTTTTTTTTTCAGGACTGGAGCTTGAACTCAGGACTTCACACTTGTGACGCAGGTGCTCTACCACCTGAACCATTCTGCCAGCCCCTTTTTTGTGTTGAGTATTTTCAAGATAAGGTCTTGCAAACTATTTGCCTGGGCTGGCCTCAAACCATGATCCTCCTGATTGCTGCCTCCCAAGTAGATGGGATTACAGGCGTGAGCCACCACACCTGGCCTGGTGTTCTCTTCTTGAACATAACATTGACAACCAACAGAGCCATGTGACCAAGATAGGTAAGAACAAAAACAGACCACTCTGCAATGATATCTGAATGCAAACAAAACATGAATATTGTCCAAGCCACAAAACAGCAAACATCCCCATTTCCCAGCTAATGAGTAACTACTGCTTAGTTTCCAATTTCAGAGGGTTGGTGGAGTGGCTCAAGTGGTACAGCACCTACCTAGCAAGCATGAGACCCTAAGTTCAAACCCAGTACTGCCAAAAAAACAAGATAAAACAACCAATTTCAGCTTTGGCCCTGCTTTAGTCTATTCTCCCTACAGGCAAAATTTATGAAAATGCCCATCGCCTGACAACATCCAAACCAAAGCGAAGCTCTGATTCTTTCAAAACTTTCCAAAATCAAGTGGGCACTGGTGGCTCACACCTGTAATCTCAACTACTCAGGAGGCAGAGATCAGGAGGATCTCTGTTCAAGGCCAGATCCTTGAGACAGTTCGAGAGACCCTATCTCAAAAAATACCCAAACACAAAATGCAATACCCAACAGAAATACAGGGCTGGCAGAGTGGCTCAAGTGGTAGAGCACCTATCTAGCAAGTGTGAGGCCCTGAGTTCAAACCCCAGTACTGCCAAAAAAAAAAAAAAATTCCAAAATCATTAGCACAAGCCCGAATCTGAATCACGAGTCTTCTCAGCCCTGTCGTCCTGAGACACCCAGCAGTTCTCTATAGTTTGTGGGCTCTCTTGCTCCAACTTGTTCACCTGGAGTGGGCAGTACCACTGTAGAAACCTGCTGGAAAGCTAATTCCAGGATATCATCCTGGCACTGGCTCTCTGAATCCATTCCCTGTCACCAGCTCATTTTCTTGTCAGCCACCTCTTTTTCCTAAAGCTGGGTGAAGAGGGGAGAGGGGCAGCCTAGATAATGAACTGTGCCCGTGAATAATGAGTGGTACAGTAACCAAGGACACCCTGCACAGCTCCCCTTCCTCCCACTTCTGAAAGTGGCCCTGAGCACAGGGTTAGCGTGGTGCTGGAGGACTGATGTACGGGCAGGGCCTGAGGCAACACCACTCAAGTACTTTAAGCCACATGTGCAAGCCCAATAAATTAGCCCAGGCTTAAAGAAGTCAAGCCGTACACATGTAAGAATTTTAATAAGCTTGGAAAATGCTACCTAGAGCTATGTGCGAGCTTACTGTACCAAGGGGATTCCCTGCCACCAGCCGCAGAGTGCTAAGCCCCTGACAAGAGCTGTGGAGCACGGGGGGCAACAGGGACAGGGAGTCTGCTTGGTCCAGGTTCCCCCGGAGTCGGGGACTCACTGCAGATGGCTGGCAGCCAGATGGATGGGGAAGAGAACAGGGCAGGCAGCTCAGTGGAGCCAACAGCATTTACTAGGAAAACATGCTGAGGGTTTCTTTGGTGGAAACCTGGTCCTCACACACCCTGGTAGAAATCAGCAAACACTGCAATCAATGTCTGCACTTATCAAACGCCTGTTTGTACCCAGAACTGCGTGAGGCACAATACAGAGCTATTTAAGCAAACACGGGCTCTGATTTCTAAATGCTGACACCTAACATAAATAAAAACAATAAATCTGTCCAAAGGATTACCAAACAAACTGAACAAACATGAAAAAGCCAAAGGCATTTACCTTACGTAAATGCAATGGAGGATTCATTCAAAGCAGGTCATGGGAGATGACTCTCTATGCAGGGTGGGGCCCAAAGGGAACAGTAATGGGGTATGGCTGTCTCCAAGGTGGAGGTCAGGGTTTAAGAAAAGCTTTAAGGGCTGGCTACTGGACTTGGGAGAAAGGAAAGAAATCAGGGACGAGAGTTGATTTAGAGGCAGAAATACAACTATAGAAAGACAAAGAACTTACTAACTGCCCAGTAAAGTAAAGAAAATCAGTCAAGCAGGTGTATGTTTCTCAACTGGTTTCATTCATGCCCCTTCTAGTAAGTATAAAAAAACCTCACACCTTGTGGCTCAGAGCACCTGCCTAGCAAGAATGAGGTCCTGAGTTCAAACTCCAGTACCGGGAAAAAAAAAAAAGAAAGCTCACACCCTCTTTTAGTGTTATTTAATATTCCAACTAAATACCTTAACTAACACCAAATCAAAGCCATAGTGGTTCCAGGTGGACAGTGGTAATGATCAACCAGGATTTAGGATTCTATAACTTCAGTTTTTTTTTGTTTTTTTTTTTTTGCAGTACTGGGATTTGAACTCAGGGCCTTATGCTTGCTAGGCAGGTGCTTGACCACTTGAACTATTCCACCAGCCCTTCCACTGGGTTCTTAAGGGAGGGTGTGGAATCGGGGTCCACATGGGACCAGACATCCACTAGTATCAGAAAGAGTTACAACTGGGTGCTTGTGGCTCACACCTTTAATCTTAAGCTACACAGGAGGCAGAGATCAGGAGGATTACGGTTCAAAGTCAGCCCAGGCAAATAGTTGATGAGATCCTATCTTGAAAAAACCCATCACAAAAAGAGGGCTGGTGGAATGGCTCAAGGTGTAGGTTCTGAGTTCAAATCCCCAAAACAGACCTTGAGACTAGCAAGAATTTATAATTACCTGATTAAAATTTTCGAAGGAAAACTCTTTGTAGATGGCATCTCTCTCACTTAATTCCAACCATCCTGCTGCTTTCAGGTCAAGAAGAACCTGGTTCCTCTCCTCTGCTGTCAACCCTTGTGGTTTGACACCTGTGGACTATGAAGAGAACATATTTTACATCTGAAAATGGAGAGCTTTACTCAAACTCTTTAAACAAACATGTAGCTCTTTACCTTAGGATGAGAGATAGGAAAGTCTCAAGGGCAACACATACCAACCATCTTCCATTCCTTCGTTCTCAAAAGACAGAAAAAAGCAAGGCTAGCTCTGTGCAAAGCAAGCTGTCTTGGCAGAGTGCTATCTCTCCATCCTTCACGATTCAGCAACTCTGGTTTATTAAGATACAACTGAGATTGACCAGTGTTACCACTGGCTTTCTTAGACACTTTCAGAATTTCAGGACGTGGGCAACTGAGGTAGAAATGCTCTGAGTCTGTTGTGGAACCAGAATTTGAACTCAAAGCTCAGAACTCCTGGTCTACTGCTGTTTGACTGGTTTCCATCACCTCTGTAGCCTTCGCTGCTTACTTACTCCTGTGGGTTTTAACTATTTGGGATTACTATTTCCTTTCACATCTAATGAAAATCAACCCCCGGAGGGGAAGAAGTTGGGAATCTGGGTTGTCCCTTCTGGGCACCCATAGACCCTTGCCACAGGTAAAGCCCTTGCCATTACAACTAGTCCTTTTCTCCCTACCCAGTGTGGCCAGAGTCCCATGCAGTCAAAGCACCTGTGTGCACTCTCCATCTTGTTCCTGCTCCCGAGGATGACAGTCACAAACTCAGGTCCTTTTGGTTAACTAAGTCTTTTGCTTTTTAACTAAAAAAGTTAAATACCATAACCAGAGATGGACACTCTACTAAAAGTCATAAAACCTAGGTTCTCAATCCTAGGACCAAGGAATGTAAGGACCAAGCAGTTCCTCCTGCCTTACCTCGTGCAGGGCTGCTGTAGACTCAGGTGAGATTATGTCAGAGGCTGTCACCAGGGAGACTGAACTAAAGGATCCAGAGTTGGTGGCATGAACCTGTAATCTCAGCTACAGAGGAAGCATAGGTAAGAGGACATTGGGCCAATCCTGGGCAAAAGCAAGAGACTGTATATGGAAAATAACATAAAGCAGAAAGGGCTGGCTCAGGCGGTGCAGCACTTGTGTAGTAACCACAAGCCCTGGGTCCAATATTACTACAAAAAAAAAAAAGACTGAACAAGTGTCCAGGGCAAGCTAGATAACCAGATTCCGTGGCATAAAACTCTTAAGTCCCTCCCACTCTGGAATCCTATACTCTTTTGTCACTGCATTAATACAATTAAGAGAGTAAAAGTTGTAGACAACTTATTCTACAAAGAGGAAAAAAAGGATGCTAATGAACTAATTTTCTAGTTTTCTTCCTTGCTACTTCAGCCGCCCTTTCCCACAACTAACAAAAGGGGGAAATTAGACATTTTTGTGGTACTGGAATTTGAACTCAGGGCTTCATGCTTGCAAGGCAGGGGCTCTACCACTTGAGTCACATCTCCCGGCCATTTTGCTCTGGTTATTTTTGAGATGGGGGTCTTGGAAACTATTTGCCAGGGCTGGCCTTGAACCAAGATCTCCCTCCTCAGACATCCAAGTAGCTGGGATTACAGAACTGAGCCACTGTGCCTGGCTAAACAAAAACATTTACAGGTGTGTTATTTACTGTAAAGAACCAAAAGAGGTTATTAGTTAGTCTTACAATGGCAGTTATGAAATTTTTCACACAAAGGATTACTATAGCAAATAATCTAAAGTGTTTATTAAACACTTTCTATATATTTATACATATTTAAATGCTTGTAAGTACTTTAAGTCAATCCAGAGAATTTTGGAAAAGTAACAGAAGTGTCTTTATCCACTATGAGCAGCTACAAAGAAAAGCACTAAATATGATGTGGGTTGTGCTTGGTCACCTGGAGGCTGTGGAAGGTACTCTGAGCTCGCTTGCCCTGGTGCTCAGCCATCCCCATCCCTGAGATCAAGAGCTTGCAGGGCACCCTGCTCACACCTGTAATTCCAGATACTCAGGAGGCAGAGATCAGGAGGATCATGGTTCCAAGCCAACCCAGGCAAATAGTTCCAGACACTACCTGGAAAAAACCTAATTCAAAAAAAAAAAAAAAAAGACTGGTGGAGTGGCTCAAGTGGTAGAGCACCTGCCTAGCAAGCATGAGGCCCTGAGTTCAAACCCCCGTACTGTTTAAAAAAAAAAAAAAAAGAGCATGAAGGGCCCATCACGGTGTCTGCCCACAAACAGGGCTCATGTCCGGGACTGAAATGGAGCCACTCCATCTCCATCATACCCATGGCCCCTTGAGGACACACCCTCAGCAGAAGCCTTTGTGGTGGCCTGTACTGTTTCTCACGGGGGGGGGGGGGGGGGGAGCAGTGAGCACCAGATTTGGAGTTCATAAACTTGACTCAAGGACTAGCTTTGTTCCTTTTTGCTATGGGATGCTGAACTTGGCCTCTGAATTCCTGTCCCTGTGTCTGTCTATACGAGATTTTACAGTATCTACGTGCCCAGGTTTTTTGGAAGACTTAAGATCTTGAATGTGAACGCAGCCACTCAAACCAAGTCTGTTTATTCATTTCTTCTATTCACCATTAATTTTATTTGGTCGCCAGTGACGTTGGACAAAAATGGGCCTAGAGACATGCCTAGGTGGCAGTAATCGCTCAAGTGTTCTCACCTTTGTGGCCACCAAGCAGAGTGCTTACTGTCTTCCATCACAGAGCTATTGTAAATTTCTCCCATTAAAGAAATTTCTGGGCTGGCAGAGTGGCTCAAGTGGTAGAGTGCCTGCCTAGCAAGCATGAAGGCCTGAGTTAAACCCAAGTATCATTAAAAAAAGAAAGAAAGAAAGAAAACAACTTCAGGACTGGAGGTGTGCCTCAGGCGGCAGGGTGCCAGTGGCTCACGCCCATAAACCTAGCTACTTGGGAGGCTGAGACAGGGATGAGCCCTGTTCAAGGCTAGTCTAGGGAAATAGTTCAGAGGACCCTTCTCTACACTAACCAGAGCAAAACAGACTGGAGGTGTGGCTCAAGTGGTAGAGCACCTGCTTTGCAAGCCCGAAGCCTTTAGTTCAAACCCCAGTCTCACAAAAAAAAAAAAAAAAAAAAAGGAAAAGCATTTCAAACGGGCGCTTACAAGCACCTTTGTAGAAATGGACCGGTCAGTGGAATGCGACACTTTTCCACTAGGTGGCGCCGCGTCCCAAAAACTCTTCCCTCCGTGTACTCCAATCATTACTAAAGCAGGAAAACCGAGTGCCCTTTGGAAGCCGAGAGAAAAATCGATGTGTCGCCCAAAAGAAGGCAATTTACTACTAATTCTCCCCAAGAACTCCGCAGCAGGAAAGCAGGTAAGCGAGCGCCCGCGACGCCGCCGAGCGCGCGGCCGAGGACACGGCCCGGCGCGCCCCCCCCAGTGCACGAGCTTGCGACTCGGCACACCGGTGACCAGCCGCCCAGTTCCGCACTCATTTTCATGTTAAAAAAAAGACTTTGCTTCCGGTTAGCAAGCCGGTAGCTAAGGCGAAATTTTGACCCCCAAGGAGACGGGGCATGGCATCGCTGAGGACACGCTGGTCCCGACCATGCGCCGGGCAGGTGCGGGTCCGCGAACGCGGCGGCCCGGGTCCAGCCCAAAGGCCCGACGCGCCCGGGCCGAACCGTCCCCCTCGAGCGCTGCGCACTCACCATGGCCGCCCAGATGCGGCTCCGTCCCCGCAGCGCCGCCAGCCACCACAGCGCCGCGCCGCGCGCCCAGAGCGCCGCCGCCATGGCCCCGCCCCGGCGCGCGCGCGCGCCCCCGCAAGCCCCGGGCCGCAATGGCCGCCAACCCGGGGGCGCGCAACCCGGGAGCGCGCGGCCCCCGCTCCCTCCAGGGCAAGGGGCGTTGACTCGGCGCCCACCGCGGGGCCCGGCAGCCTAGGGCGAAACCTGGGCTCGGCCCAGGCGTACCTGTGTCCTCCCTGCGGTCCCAAAAGCCAGCAAGGATTGCAGCAGGCCCCGGGACAGGTGAGGACAGGGGGCACCAGCTGTCTGATGTACTGGGAGATATGCCTTCCTTTCCATGCCCAATACGTGTGTTAATTTCTCTTTGGGCTTTTTTTTTTAATTTTTCTTTCTAGCTGTGTAAGTAGCCCTGGCTGGCTGGAACTCGGGATCCTACTGCCTCAGCCTCCCAGAGTGCTGGGAGCACAGGCTTGCGCCACCAAGTCCTGCTACCTTTCTACTTTTTGAGATGTAATTGACAAACCATAAAAGTCACTGTGAAACAGTATAATTTGTATCGTTTTCCTTTTTTTTAATAGGAAGCTTTGTAAAGGATATTTTATATATGTATATGTGTGTATGTTTATTACGTGTAATAGACTGAGACCCATTTAGCAATTCTTAGAAGTCATTTGGGGAGGGGGGGTTGTTTTGCAATACTGGGGGGCTGACCTCAGGGCGCTCCCAGCCTCCGTCCAGCCCAGCAATCAGTTCTATGAATTTAGAAAAAATAAAATAGCTTCCTACTTTCTTCCTTTTTACACACTTCAAAAGATGTAATTATCTGGACTGGAGGAGTGGCTCAAGTAAGTGGTTAGACCCCTGCCTAGCAAGCACAAAGCCCAGAGTTTAAACTCCAGTACCATAAGGAAAAACAAAATGCAGCCATGTGAAAAGCTAACCTCAGGCAAATACTACTGATGAGGGCACTGATCAGTTGTCACTGATCTCAGCCATTTATGTAAGACACTGGTTTTGTTTGCCCAGTGCCACAGACTGACTATAGACTACACAAGGGATGGAATTAAAGGCTGTATTTCTAATTTTTACATTAGGTGTTTATAATAATGAGAAATACTCTTTAAATTTACTCATTAAAGTGAAAACTGGCCAAGTGTGTTGGTGCACATGTGTAATCCCAGCACTTGGGAGGCAAAGGCAAGGAAGATTTGAGATAAGCTTGGGCTACATAGGGAAACTTTGCCTCCAAGAAAAAGGAAAACAAAGTTGGGAACTGGAAAATGAACTGGTGTGAGTCCACAAATCAGTGACCCTTCATCATTTTCCTTCCTTAACACCACTGTATGAAACTGGCATCTCTAGTCCTTACAGAAACAGCCAAAGGAGGCCTATTATGTAGCTAAGGTTAGGAAAACTATTAGCAACAGTGAAATGTTAATCAAAAAAATAAAAAGACGCCAGGCACTGGTGGCTCATGCCTATAATCCTACCTACTCAGGAGGCAAATATTAGGACAATCGGTTCAAAACCAGCCCTGGCAAATAGTTCACAAAACCCTACCTAGAAAAACCCCATCACAGAAAAAGGCCGGTGGAGTGGCTCAAGGTGTAGGCCCTGAGTTCAAACCCCAGTACTCCCCCCCCCAATAAAAGAAAACGAAAAGCAAGGTGTATAGCACATGCCTACAATCCCGTAGCACGGGGAGCCTGGGACAGGATGGCGAGATCAAGGCTAGTCTAGACTATATAGGGAAACCCTGGCTCAAAAAAAGTAAAATCAAGGATCAAGGTACTAAGTTGCAACTTTATGACTGGAACATACGGAAGGGAAATGCTTTAGACAGCCACCTCAGCCGGGGCCCAAAGCAGGCAGGGGACCCTTCCACACAGAGGTCCTGAAGTGAGAATGCTGAGGTTTGAAGCTTGATCTACCCACTGAACTCTCCATGACCTTGTTTGAGGCCTCAGTTTACTCCGAAATGAGGACATTTCATAGTATCAGTCTCATTGGATTATGGTATGGATAAATGCAACAGTATCTGGCATCAGAGGCCAAATTGCTAAGGGTTTGTTCTTAGATTTGTAATTAAAGGTATACGTAAGTGTGAAGGTTCAAATCCCAACTTCATCAACTTACTATGTGCAACCCAGGCAAGTTACTTAAACTCCCTACGCCTCAGTTTGCTCATTTATAAAATGGACCTCATAACTGTACCATTCTGAGCCACAGTCCCCTCCTGCAGTGGGTGACCAGCCATGGCTGTACACAGCATGACCCTAAACTTTAAAAGTTGTAAACTCTCACTCAATGTAACACTCAGGGGACTCTCAGGTTCTGTTTCTGTAGAATTTAGGGTATCTTATGAAATACACATTTAATTAAACACTAGAAACAAGTGGTATAAAAGTAATTTATCATTAGCTCATCAACTGTCTTATATCTGAATTTAAGGTCCATGTTGTCTTCACTAAATGTATCCTGAACTAGAGTCAACTTACAGCTAAGAAGTGTTTTATATGCTTCCTTTGAACCTCACTGAACCTAGGCTGGGATGAGTCGTTTTAGGTTGAATTAATGCATGCTGGTTAAGTAACTATGACTAAAGTTTATGCTTTAGCATAGAACTGATAATAAATGCACTTTAATTATAAACATTCACTTTATCCTAACATCTGCCTCACCTAGAAACAACTGAAATCACATTTTTTTTTCTTTTTGGTGGTACTGGGGTTTGAACTCAGGGTCCTGTGCTTGCTAGGCAGGGTCTCCACCACTTGAGCCAGCCCTGAAAAACACTTCACGTTCCTCTGTGAAAGCAGAGCTCACAAACACCAGGGTATTTGACATGTTTATTTTCCATCCGTTGTTTATTACAGGGTCACACTTAGCCATTGTAGCCCTTCTCATAATGCTCTCCTGCTTATCCACCCTGGAAGAGAAGTTGCAAGTAGAAAACCAATCTTCTTAGACATTCTTAAGGAACCAAGAATTTTATAAAACGATAATCTGAAGTTCCATTTCTGCCTTCTCTAGAGTATCCACAGTGGCATTTTCCTCTCTACTCTACCACAATGTATCTTCACATTTCCAACTGGATTAGACTATCAGATTGTGTTCAAGTGGTAAAAACATGAACAGTAAATTTTAATATCTTTGCATTTGCTTATTGCAATTCTAGTGAAACACCAGTTTAATTTTTTTTTAACTCATTCAGTGATTGAACAAATGCAGGATCTTTTAATCTGATTCCAGATGCAGTCAACACTTCTGTAGGGAAGATTTAGAAACTAACAGCACTGGTTTTAAAGGAAGGCTGAAGGCCCACATCTTTCACACTATTCTGCGTGTTCCTGCTCTCGTCCTGGAATTAGCCACCGGATACTCTCAGTTCGAATGGTAGCATACAGAGTAAAACTAACTAAAAAGAACAAGGAAAACACAAGCAGCCAGTCCACAGTCTTTATCAAAGTGCTGGGAAGAGGGCCTATTTGGTCAGCTTGCGTTACCACCACATTTTTCTTGGCTTCTATACCTGAAAGAGAAATCAATTGTTTCAAATTAGAGAGAAAATGTGTCCACCTCACATTTTTCTGAAGTCTGATGTAGGGTATGCAAAATGGCATGCAATCCTGAAATAAGCACCACTGTAGTGTATCTGGGATGGATTTCACCTGCTTGTCAGTGTAATTTGTAACTTGCCTTTCTCCCCACCACATCAAAGGACCAGGAATCCATTCAGCTGTTCAAAGCTAAAACTCCAGAATTTCTGCAGACTCATCACAGCTTTCTCAGGCAGAGCCTTGTGAGAGCTGCCTTTTGTTCTTCTTCAGACCAAAGTTCAACAAGAAAGTAGTAATGTTACTCTCAGGAGGCTACAGAATGTTTTCACAGGTTCAGTAATGCTAAAGTCAAAGTGCTCTGAAATAAGCTACTGAAACAATTGTTAGAACAACTAGTCACCACTGGAGTAGGTGGTCACCAAAGATGCTGGGACTCTGAGATTTCTTCCATGTTCTAGGTTCTCCTAGAGCACTAAAGACAAGGATGTCCCCTCCCATGCCAGTCGAGGACATGCCTCAGGATTCCCGATCTCCACATGGTAGCCACTTTTACTCCTCAGAGCTAACTTGGTGCTTTCTCTTTGTATCAAGAGAAAAGTGATTACATTCTGGAGGTGTGTTCTAATTCGCACTTATTTCCCATAAGTGCACTTTAAGAAGAAGTGAGCTGCTCATAGTTAAGGCAATAAGGTTTCTGATGAGCGAAGTATTTCAGTGAAGAAAATTCAAATTTACGTGCTCAAACCTGCACACCCATGTTTACTGCAGCTCTGTTCACTATAGCTAAACTATGAAACCAGCTGAAGTGATGAAAAAAAACTCATGAACAAAGAAAATATAGTAAGTGTGTGTGTGTCTGTGTGTTTGCCAGAAAGAAAAATGGAATTGTCACTTGCTGAAAAATAGATGGAACTGGAGATCATCATGCTGAATGAAATAAGCCAAGCTCAAAGCCAAATATCACATGTCCTCACTCATCTGTGGAACCTAGAACTAAAGCGATGATGATGATGATGATGATAATGGGACATGAATGTGAAAGGACAGTCTGGGGGAATCACTGGAAAGGGGGAGGGGAACTGAAATACACTATTTGTATATGTTTGAAGACAGCATAATGAAACCCACCAAACACTGTATAAAAAAGGGGGGATGAAGGGGGGAACTTGTTCAAAGGACACTGTACACATGTATGGAATTTCCACAATGAAACCTCCACATTTTATTAATGTATACTAATTCAAAATATAATTTTTAAAAGGCCCTAAATTTTGGCAAATATTGAGGAATTAAAATAGCATCTTCAAATGGACTAATAAATGGAACACTACCCAAGAAAAATGAGCAAAACCACCATATCCAACAATGCAGTGCTTCTTATAGCACAACAGACGGGTGAAATGAGCCCAACAAAAGAATATACGCCACATGCCTCGGTCAACACAAAGTTCAAAGCAGTAATGCAGGGCTGGCTGAGTGGCTCAAGTGCTGGGAGTGTCTGCCTAGCAAGTGTAATGCTGGTCTATGGTCTTAAAAGGTAAGGCTGGTCACCTCTTCGGAAGTGAGACAGGATCATGGTTTTGCTTGTTCTGATCACCACTCACTGGGGCACTCACTTTCTGAAAGTTTATCACTAATGATTTATGCACACTTATGCACAAATATTAAACTTAAGTGAACATGTGTGTAAAAAGGTATCTATGGGTGAGGTGTATGGTATGTGAATTGTTTTTAATAAATCTGTATTTTTTTAAATATAATCATTAAAATTGCCTGCTCATGTTAAACTTGCTCAGATAGGGAGAAGTTTAACAGGATCCTCACAGGTCATTAGAGAAGTCTTACAGCTCACAGTCCAACCTGAAGGATACAGCAGAACAGAACCCACAAAAGCACAACCCAGCAAGAAGTATCTTCTTCCTCAGCACATTATTTCTCTATACATACCCGTCTGATTAAAAATGAATATTTTCAGCGTTTCCAGTGTTCGGTCTGTATGATTAAATCTAGCCATTGGTTTAGCTCCTTGAAATAACAAAATATTAGGGACAGCTACAGTGCCAAATCTGGTAGAAAGGCTGTAAGAGAAAAATCCGTTAGAAAACCCAAATCTATCAGAATGGATGGAAATAAATGAGAAAAGCCTGGTTTCGTGTGACCTAAGGAGGTTTCTGATATTCAGCTTTTGGCTTTTAGTTATTCCTGACCTCCTTGTGGGTCAGGGCTGAGGGCATTCCTGTTCGGCAATCTAAGTTGATGCTATTGCCATATGGATCAACCTATGACCCAATTACCCCACTGTTTATGTTCCCAACTGTCCTATGACCAGAAAATTCTAAGTCATGGATGAAAGACACTGTGTCTTATTTTCTTGACAGAGAAATGTCAAACTTTGGAATGCCCATCCTCAAAACAGATGAACTTACAGTGAGCAGTTGGCCTGGTAACTTGTGGTGAGGCAGCACCTGACTAAACCCACACCAGGAAGCTTGCAATAGGGCAGGAGGTCTTGGGAGTAATCTGATCTATGAGATTGTGTCACCGTGATGTAGTATACCCCAGTCCCACTTCTAGCCTTAGTTTGGCCACTGAGCCAGTTGTGACCGTTGAACAGATTATTGAACCTCCCTGAGCCTCAGTTTCTCCCGTGGAGATAATCGGGATTTTTTTCTTTTGTAAACATGCCATGACTTAGATATTAACATATGAGGCCGACAAAATCCCAGCCTCTATCACAAGGACAAGTGCCCTGGTCTCCAAAATTAAAGCACCATGCCAGGCACTTAATGGTGGGGTAAAGGAAAGAAAAGGCAAACCAGATGCAGAAAGCCCATGGGAGGGAGTGGAGGGGGCAGTGCCAGGTCTGTAACCCAGAGAACTGAGTGAGGCTGGAGGGGGTTGAAGGGAGGAACGGTCAGAGCTGGACATTAACCCGAACTGTCCTCTCCATTCAGTCTGTTCCCTTAGTCCAAGCCACTTAGATATTTTCCTGAAGCCCATGTAAGAATTATTAATTTGTGGGGCAAATTCTGTCTTCTTAACATAAGCAGTTTCAAGTAAGCACTGGAAGTTACATTCCCACTTGGAGAAAAATCAGTGGAGTGCAAATAAAGTTATTCAACTTAATCTTACCACCAACTCGCCCGTCTTACGTTCTATCTGACCGCCAACATTCTACACTGACTCCCACTCCCACACAATCTCTGGTAACCTGCTAAGGAGCATCTGATTTAGAAGAAGTGGGAACACTAGTTTATTACCCAGGTACAATCATAGCATACAGGACATCTAAAGAAAGTTTTCTGTAACTTACTTTACTTTTGTTTTACAGTACTGGGGCTTGAACTCAGGGCCTCCACCTTGAGTCACTCCACCAGCCCTTTTTGTGATGGGTTTTTTTCAAGATAGGGTCTGGGGAACTATTTGCCCGGGGCTGGCTTTGAACCGTGATCCTTCTGATCTCTGCCTCCTTGAGTAACTAGGATTATAGGTGTGAGCCACTAGCACCTAGCAGTTCTCTGTAACTTATTTTATTGGACATTTTAGAAAGATAAGCTAGGCATGGTGGCACAAACCGAGTAGTCCTAGCTACTCAGGATGCTGAAACAGGAAGATCACTTGAGCCTGGAATTTCAAAGCCAGCCTGGACAACATGAGAGCCCCACCCCCCAAAAAAAGAGAAAAGGCAAAAGCCCAGTAAACAATATAAAAAATATAAAACAAGGGTAAATGTCAGGGACTAAATTAACTCAATTTATTGAATATCTACTATGGCACACAAATGCAAGAATAAATATAAGGAAAGTTTAAAAAAGGAAAAGGAAAGGAAAGAAAAAACAAGGAAGAAAAAAACAAATTCCCATATATGTACAGAACAGGGGTGCTAAGAAGCTGCCAGAGATGGGGACCCAAGATGCATATTAAAGCCACAAAAGGATAGTGCTGTGACACTAGTTGTGCTGATTCAGTCTGGCCAGGATCTTCCAAAGTCCCCTCCCCTGCCATCAGATGCCATCACCAGCCACTTTTAAATCTATCACAAAGAGAACAGGCCTATTTCATTAGGGGCTTCAGGAAAGTAACACCCAAGCCCCTCAGAAGTCTGAAGATCTGCAATATTCTCTCACCCATGCCCCACTCCCCTGCTTCTAACTGAACTATACAAGACTACAATCATCAGCCAGAAGAACGAGTGGCAACCCCACCAGGGGAGATACCTGCTGTGCTGAGAGGCATCCAGTGCCAAGAAGTGAAGAGCTGGAAATGCCCGGGGCAGAGAATTAAAATGAGGCGCCAAACTGGCCGAAAACCGGCACCATGGGGTATAGAACAGGACCAGGGTGCAGTCACTGCCATTTGGGTTTAGAAAATCCATAAGGTCCTGTGGTGAATGAAACAAGTGTTGAAGTCAGCAGTAAATATACACATCCTTGTTTCTGGAAGGAAACCCAAGAAACAGGAAGCCCTGCTGCCTCCAGGGAGAGGAGCTGCAGCAGAGCAGAGACTGTGGATTTTGAACCATATGAACCCATGAATCAGCAGAAAAGTACTCCCAAACGAAGGCATAAACTTATCTCCCAGCTTTCTTAGTATTACTGAAGAGCTATTTTAATAGTCTGCATAATTCATCGATGCAAACACTAATTACTCACAGGCTACCGCCCACACTTCTGAACTGTGCATCTCAAATGCTATGGTTTAGACTGTTGGTGTTACTAGGAAGTGGGGGAGCCTTTAGGAGTTGAGGTCTAATGGGAGACCTTAGATCACTGGGGAATGCCTTTGAAGGGGACTGGGGAACCTTGACCTCTTCGCTCCTTTTGGCTTTCCAGTCCTCATGAGGTGAGGGCTTCCTCCACCACATTCTCTCACCATCCTGTGCTGCCTTACCACAGACCCAAATACAATAGGCCAACTGATGATCATGGACTGAAACTTCCAAAACACTAAGCCCAAACAAGCCTTCCTTTTAAGTTGATTACATCAGATATTTTATTACAGTAACAAAGCTAACACATCAAACTATCTCAAATGATTGAGTACTATGATTCTCAAACTGTATCTCACCAAGCAGCTGGATCAACGTACATGGTCAATTCTAGGGTGTACCATCCTTGCCACTAGACATTTAAACTGTAACTCAGACTGTCCTGGTCATGTGTGTGACACAGTAAAAACCCTCCAGGGCTAAGGCACAGTGTCTACAGACACCCAGGAGGGAGTGAGGCTGTGCTGATCCAGCCTTCATGCACTGTATGGCCTGTGCTCTCCTTGACAATGGGCAATTCCAGTTCTCAAACCCAGGATTTACTTTCCTTGCATAAGTAGGACTTCATTCTGCTCTTCTGGCTTCTTAACCATTCTGTGGAAATTGTCAGTCACTATTCCAGAATTTCCTGTGGGATCATCATTTATCTAGATATCTGGAAAAGCATGGCTGGGTTGAGACAATGGTCTCAGTTCTCACTCCAGAACAAACACCAGATTCACTTTCTTTAGAGGAAAGAGAAACTTTTCATCAATACAACATATTTTCCAGAGGCACTTACTAGTATAAATAATGTTAAATAAATAAAAATTGTAGTCATTCTATGTTTTGGGGGTTTTTTGGTTTTTTTTTTCCTTGAGATGAGGGATTCGCCATCTTACCTAGACTGGTCTGGAATTTATAAGCTCAAATTATCCTCATGCCTCAACCTCCCAAGTAGCTGGGGATGTAGCTCAATTGGTAGAATCCTCACCTAACAGTTGGGAGCACAGGCATACCACTGTGCCCGGCTATATCGCAGACATTTTCATGTTACCTCTTTAGTAAATCCTTCACTTGAAAGAAGAAAAGTTCTCTTTATTTATTTCAGTGCTGGGGATTGAACCCAGGGCCTTGTGCATGCTAGGCAAGTGTTCTACCACTGAGCCACACCCCAGGCCTAGAAGAAAAACATTATGATTCTGACACTAAGCATCTGTCTGCCCACTAGGAATTTTATGAGACTTGGTAGTCAGATCATCCCAAGGATGACTAGCTTTGGGCCACTTAAAAAGCATAATTTTTTTTTTAAGACACCTGCTGGCTGCATATCCCTGGCTGGTCTGGAACTTACTATATAGTCCAGGCCCAGCTGGAACTCAAGATCCTCCTGCCTCTGCTTCCTGAGTGCTGGGATTATAGGCATATGCTACTATATCTGGCTTCTAAAAAGCATAATGGACAGTAGTTACATTTCCTCTTTTCCTATAAACACCACAGAGAGCAAGTCAACTTTCAATGCTATCCTCAGCTTAGAATATGATACAGATGGTGACCCTCCATTTGATAAGAGTATAAAATAGAGTATTAAATCCTAACATGAATACACTACAAGGGAGAACAGTACCAACCACTATTTTCTCACCTGGGATATGTTTAAGATTTTCAGAGTGAAATTTTCCAGCCCAGTCACATTCCTCTCCTCACAGTTCACCTTGGGGGACTTGAGGCTCTCAGTGCTGTTGGAGTCCTCAGCAGCGGGCTCAGCCACCTCGGGCTCAGTGTAGTAGTCCTCCTCTCGGTCAGGGCCCAAGGAGAAGAGGCGCTCTCGGACACTGCACCTGGAGTCTTCCTGGTCCCCTGCTCCACAGGTGCCTGTCTCTGCACTCTGCTTGTCCTCGGCCTCCCCATCCCCAGGAATCACAGACAACACCAGCATGGGGTCACTATGGGTGTCAGAATCTGCAGCCCTCTCCACAGCCGCCGACTGCAGCGGTCCAGCAGGCTGCTGTTCCCACACATGGCCACCTTCCTCTGCAACTGAAACAGCCGGCATGTTGTCATACATGTTGTGAAAATAAATGAACCCAAAAACTTATGGTTCTCCTCAAAAATGCGATTTGCCCCTTTGGAGCAAATCTACCAGAGAGCCACCCACCATTCTCAGGTTCAGAAGACTGTCACAAGGGGACTGGACTAATGGACGCCTAATAAATGGACAAATACTCAGCTTCACCCAGAATGTGCTGCTGGCCATGTGGATAATAACCAAAGCCATTCCAGAGCAGACATCTGGTTAGAAAATACAAATCAGCTCTTTAACACAGCATCTCTCTACGAGAATACCAAGAAAATCCTAGTGGTTTTCTGCAAGCCTCTACCAGGCAAAGCATTCACACACATCATGACAGCTGAGAGACTAGGTCACCACACCCTCTTCACAGATGACCAAGCTGAGGCACAGAGCTCAGTGTAGTGCCATGGCACACAGCCACAAACCACAAAGCCAGGTCTAAGGAACAAAGCCACTCCAGAGCCAGGTGCTGGTGGCTCAGGCCTGTAATCCTAGCTACTCAGAAGGCAGAGATCAGGAGGATAGTAGTTCAAAGCCAGCCCAGGCTATTAGTTTGTAAGACTCTATCTTGAAAAAAACCCTTCACCCTAAATGGATGGAATTGGAGAACATCATTCTGAGTGAGGTTAGCCTGGCCCAAAAGACCAAAAATCTTATGTTCTCCCTCATGTGTGGACATTAGATCAAGGGCAAACACAACAAGGGGATTGGACTTTGAGCACATGATAAAAGCGAGAGCACACAAGGGAGGGGTGAGGATAGGTAAGACACCTAAAAAACTAGCTAGCATTTGTTGCCCTTAACGCAGAGAAACTAAAGCAGATACCTTAAAGCAACTGAGGCCAATAGGAAAAGGGGACCAGGAACTAAAGAAAAGGTTAGATCAAAAAGAATTAACCTAGAAGGTAACACACACGCACAGGAAATTAATGTGAGTCAACTCCCTGTATAGCTATCCTTATCTCAACCAGCAAAAACCCTTGTTCCTTCCTATTATTGCTTATACTCTCTCTACAAGAAAATTAGAAATAAGGGCAAAATAGTTTCTGCTGGGTATTGAGGGGTGGGGGGGAGAGGGAGGGGACAGAGTGGGTGGTAAGGGAGGGGGTGGGGCAGGGGGGAGAAATGACCCAAGCCTTGTATGCACATAATAAAAAAAAAAAAAAAAGCCCTTCACCAAAAAAAGGGCTGGTGGAGTGGCTCAAGGTGTAGGCTCTGAGTTCAAACCCCAATACCACTAAAAAAAAAAAAATCCACTCCAGAATGGGCCTCAAGCTCCCCCCCCCCCCCGATAATTCCTTGGGGAACGCTAGGTCACTATGCCCGAGAACCTGCTGGAGGAGCAGAGCAGCTCCTTCCTGCAGTGGCCTTTAACAGCTGGACTCTGTCCCTTACCTGCTACCCCTGGGCTGCTGCCCTGAGGAGTACTAAGAAATGAGCACCAGGAGGAGGAAGAAGGGACTCTTCCCACTCTAGAGCCACAATGTGAGTCTTGGGCAAAATGCTCAGATAAGGAACAGTTCCAGACAGTCTCAATCACCAGTCTTCCACAGCACGAGTCCTGCCCCCAACACTCATCAACCAACACCAGCTGCCCATCTCAGTCAGGCACTGACCAGGGGAACAAATGAGGCTAGCTGCCCACTGGAAAGTTCACCATGTGGCTAGGGAAGCAGCTCTGTGACAAGCTCTGCATGCTAACAGCATTGTCACCAGAGTGTGAGTGAAAAATGTTTAAAGCCAAAAGCTTTCCAAACTTGGTAAGAACTATAAATCCATAGATCCAGGAAACTCAACAAACTCCAAGCTGAATTGACTACACCAAGACATATCATAATCAAAGTGCTCAAAAACAGTGACAAAAAGAAAATCTTAAAAGCAGGCAGAGATAAAAGACATTATGTAGAGAGGAACAAAGACAAAGGCAACAGTAGATTCCTTGTTGGAAACAATGCAAGCAAGACCAGCATGTTTAAAGTCTTGAACAAAACAAAAAAAATTTTAACTATAAAGCTAGAATTCTATACCCAGCAAAAAATTATCCTTCAAAAACAAAGATGGACTGATGGGTGGACAAACACTCTGTATTGACTGTCATGCTCTGACTGAAAATGAAAACAAAGATGGAACATACAAAAGCTGAAAAAATCTATCACACTAGACCCACACAACTAAAACCTTAAGGGAGCTCTTTAAGAAGAAGAGGAGATCCACATAAAGAAATAAGAGAGGAACAGGAATGGGAACATAGATAAACACATACCTTTCTTCCCAGAAGTCCTGCTACAAAGGAGACAAGGTAGACAGGGTGGTTGCTACAGGCACACAAAAGGCTAAGGGAGGTTTCTATTTTGGCTTCTGAGAGATGGGGACAATTTGGGGATGTGTGAAAGTGGCTGGAAAGCCAGGTAAGGAGGCACAGGTGACAATGTAGGTTAGATAGAGCAGTTGAAGGCTTGTGGAGCAAGGTGAGTCAGGCTCTTCCATGACTACAGCACACAAAAGAGGACGGGTGCCTGAACAAGCAGCTTAGGCACTCTGAGGTGGGCAGGATTACACTGGTGGTCTTTCTGTGATAGCCTGGGGGTGACGATCACATCAAAGGGATAATCAAATTGAAAAGACAAACATGTTGATTGTGACATCTGTAAGACAGAGCAGGAAAAGAAGCCAGCAAGGCTGAGTCCAGAGAAGAAAGAAAGGCTCCAGGCTTGGGGACCAACCCTACACCTAAAGACCCCAGTTCCAGGGTTAGGTTAGTAGCCTAACCAACATTCTAGGTCCCACAAGTAAATGAGGAATAGTAGGGCTTAGGTGTGGCTCAGTGGTAATACACTTGCTAGCATGTAGAAGCCCTAGGTTCAATCCCCAGTACCCCACCAAAAAAGAAAACTTTACAAAAGCACTGGAAGAATGTCAAGAGAAAAAAATCAGGGCACAATTTAGAATCTGGTTCTCTTTGATCACCCTCAGACGCTCCCTGCAGAACAGGCAAAGGTAGTCTCAGTGAGACACAGAACTGGTATTTAAATTCAGGAATGCCCTCCCTCAAGATACTTAAGTACACAGTACAGATTAGGAACAATCACTTTTTTTTTTTTAATTATTTTGGTGGCACTGGAGTTTGAACTCATACTTGCTAAGCAGGCACTCTACCACTTGAGCCACTCCTCCAGCTCTTTTTGCTCTGGTTATTTTGGAAATAGGGTCTCCCATTTTGCCCAGGCAAGCCTGGACCAAGAACCTCCTATCTTATACTTCCTCCCACAGGTGGGATGACAGATGTGTACAACCACACCTGGCTTTTTTTTTTGGTTAAAATGAGGTCTTAGGAACTTCTTTGCCCAGGCTGGCCTAGAACTGAGTTCCTCCTGATCTCAGCCTCCTCGTAACTTAGAATGACAAGTAAGCACCATTGCACCCAGCTATTGGTTGAGATGGGGGTCTTGTAAACTATTTGCCCAGCCTGGCCTCAAACCCTGATCCTCCAGACCTCAGCTTCCCAAGTAGCTAGGATTACAGGTGTGAGCCACTGGTGCCCCACTAAGAACAAAATCACTCTTATCCCTTCAGGTACCAATATTTTCATTTAGGTGTTATGAAGAAAAGAAATTATTTCACACTGAAATAAAAATGGCACACTATGTGAGAACCACTGAACATTCTCCTCCCATGGTAATGTGCTTTCTAAGAGGTTGCTTCTTTGTTTCTCTTTTTTCTTTTTTGGCAGTACTGGGGATTGAACTTTGAACTCAGGGCCTTGTGCTTCCTAGAAAAGTATGCTATCTATCACCTGAGCCATGCCCCAGTCCAAGAGACTGCTTTTTGTTATTTTTTTGGTGGTACTGGGGTTTGAACTCAGGATCTCACATTTGCTAGCCAGGCGCTCCACCATTTGAGCCACTCCACCAGCCCTTTTTGTGTTGGATATTGTTGAGATAAGGTCTTGTCTATCTCTGCCTCCCAAATAGCTAGGATTACCTAGTGAGCCACGTGCACACTCGGCTAAGAGATTGCTTTTGTTTTTTTTTTTTTACACCGGGCTTTGTACTTAGGGCCTACACCTTAAGCCACTCCACCAGCCTTTTTTTTGTGATAGACTTTTTCAAGATAGGGTCTCGTGAACGATTTGCCTAGGCTGGCCTCGAAACTCCATCCTCCTGATCTCTGCCTCCTCAATAGCTAGGAGTACAGACGTGAGCCAACCAGTGAGATTGCTTCTTAAGCTAACAAGCTGATTACAGTGTGAGCCATGCATAAATTGAAAATTACCCAGTCACTGGCTGTAAGGAAGTTGCCTGGGAAGTAAGAATGGGGCACTGTGCCTACTCTGCCAAGAACATGAGCCAAGGTCAGCGCCTTCTCCCCACTCAGATTCTCTCAAAAGGCTCTCTCCCAGCTGCAGGTTTCTGCAGTCCTCTGTGGCAATGAAGCCAAATGGGGAAGGAATAAAATAGCCAGGGGTTGGAGGGGCAGCAACCCATACTGTCCAAAGGCTATACTCACTGTGCTTATCTAACAAATGGAGAAAAACCACTGAAATGCAGAAAAACCACAGGGCTTCCATGAAGATTAAGTGAGGCAGAGTGGCTTAAGTGGTACAGCGCCTATCTAGCAAGCATGAGGCCCTGAGTTCAAACCCCAGTACTATCAAAAAAAAAGTAAAGAAACTTACATATGGTCCCTACCATATGCTAAGTAGTACAAAATGGCTGCAGTGGTGACAGTGGGCATTTATAATTCAGGGAAATGAAGTGACATCATAACTGAGTTCTGTTAATTCCTCTGCTAAACACGTTCAGAATTCATCCATTTCTCCCATCTCCACTAACACTGCTCAGCCCAGGACAGCCACCTATGTACCTGCTGCAGCCACCTAACTGGTCACTCTGTTCAGCACCCTATCCTCCTCCAGACCCCGCTCCTCACAGCAAGAAAGTTAAGGGGCAATTCCCCTTTCAATGGCTGTCCCCAGGCCTCAGAGCAGGGTAGGCAGTCTCCAGATGCACCCAACAATGCCCTGGGGCCCCACCTGAAATACTTCTCACTCTTGAGATTTACTGAGTTATTTGAAATCTCTGAATGCCTGCCGTCCCCCACCAGAGAGGAGTCAGGCCTGTTGTCTTGTCTGGCTCGTCACTACACCCCCGATGCCCAACAGTGTCTCCCATATGCTCTGTAAGAACCTGCTAGCTGACTGCCCAGTGAAGACTGGTGTGGGGCCTTGAGGCCAGTCACTGCCCTTTCCAGGCACCTGGGCAGCACTGCCACCTGCAGTTACTAGTCTGCCAGGAGCACACACTGCAGAAAAAAGGCCTTGGATTTTCAGCCACTCTGGAAAGCAACCAGCTGGTGAAGGTTCTGTCCTCCCCTTATTCACTGCCTAGCCATGATGACCAATGTCCCACCCCATGGGTGGTGCTACCCTGACTGTAAGGGGGCTCACACTGACTGCAACAATAAGTCAGTCCCCTGAGTCAGCCAGGGTTCTGCTAGGAAACAACACACTTAATAGAGAAATGGTAAGAAACTCCCAGGCCAGAACAGCAGAGGGACAGCCAGTTACCACTCACAGACTTTAGGGCTCTGCTCAGAGACAGAAGCAGTCACAGAAGCTTGAGTCGGAATGCTGAGCACAGGGCAGCTTTCTACAAGTGGTCTTGGGACACGGCCCAGTGATAACCCCTGAGGAGGGAGGAAGCTGACAGCATCAGTACCCTGACCTCGCTCTCCCTTCATTCCAACCCAAAGGAGCAGAAGGCAGGAGAGCCAGGTGCTGTTCCACACTTGCCTTCCTCACGTCTGAGGCTGGTGGTTAAGAGTAGTGAGAGTCGGGCACAGTGGCTCACACCTGTAATCCTAGCTACTCAGGAGACAGAGATCAGGAGGATCACAATTTGAAGCCAGCCTGGGCAAACAGTTCTTGAGACCCTATCCTGAAAAACCCATCACAAAAAAAGGGCTGGGGGAGTGGCTTAAGGTGTAGGCCCTGAGTTCAAACTCCAGTGCAGAAGGAAAAAAAAAAAAATGAGTAGTGAGAATGCAAATGTTTTGTTGTGAGTACCCCAGCTTCTCATCCTCTGGCTATATAACCTTAGTTCTCATTCATAAAACAGACACAATAACAACATCTACTGCATAGCAATTAAAAATTAAACAAGAAGAAGCCGGGCGCCACGGGCTCACACCTGTAATCCTAGCTACTTGGGAGGCTGAGCTCCTGAGGATCTTGGTTAGAGACGAGCCCAGGCAAATAGTTCACAAGACCCCCATCTCCAAAATAGCCAAACCAAAATAACTAGAGGTGTGACTCAAATGATAGAGCTCCTGCTTTGCAGGCATGAAGCTGAGTCCAAACTCCAGTCCCTTAGGGAAAAAAAAAAAAAAATCGCCCAGCTGCCAGTCACTCACACCTGTAATCCTAGCTACTCAACAGGCAGAGATCAGGAGGATATAGGTTCCAGGCCAGCCCAGGGGAACAGTGAAACCTTATCTCAAAAATATCCAACACACACACAAAAATGGGGCTGGCAGAGTGGTGTGGCTCAAGTGGCACAGGGCCTGCCTAGCAAGTGTGAAGCCCTTTATTCAAACCCCACTACCGCAAAAATAAATAAATAAGATGGTGCTCACAGTGAGTACTTTCATTAATGGTAATTGTGTTGCTATTCCTCAGCCTTCTCCACACTCAACAACAGACTGATTCTTTCCAGACATCCCAGGGAAAGGAAAGACCTGTCTATTTCTGTTAAGGTCTCAATGACTAGAGCCACAGGGTCTGGACCTTAACAGGGCTGTGAGGAGCAGAATGAAGGAGCAGTGGGGTGAGGCCTCTGCTCCCCACTGCGGCTCCCTTCCTCTTACAGGGGTTCCTGCAAGCGTGGTCTCAGGAGTCTCCTGGTGTTCTCTGGTCTGCCCTGTACCTGAGCAAGACTCTCCTCCTTCAGAGGACCAGTGGGGTGACCTCCAGCGGGGGCCTTGGAGCCAGAGAGCCAGGCTCTGCCATTTACTACAAGAGCACCCTTGGGCAGACTGCTTGTCCTCTCTGAGCCTCGGTATCTTCATCTGTGAAATGGAGATGGCAATGGCACCTGTCTCACAGGGTTGGTGGGCAGGGGGCAAATGAGATAAAGATGTCAAGCACTGGTCACAGTTCCTGGCTTCTAACAAGGCCACAATACGATGACGATTAGTAATAAAGTGCTCAGCACAAGAAGACTGGCGGACCCGGGCCCGAGCGCGGCGGGGTCGCGAACGGCGCCCGCTCCCCCACTCCGCCCCCTCCCCCCCACATTCACACCCCACCCCGCCCCCGCCGCCCCTGCGCCGACCGCTGGGCGCCGGAGACGCAGAAGAGGCAAGGCGCGTGTCGCCGGCCTTCCCGCGGTGCAGAGCGTCGCCTGCCCGGCGGATCCCCTCCCCGCCCCGCCAGCTCCCACGCCGCCGACCCCGGCCCCGGCCCAGCCCGGCCCGCACTCACCCTCCAGGCCGCGGGCGGGAAGCCCCAGAACCCACAGCAGTACCTGCCACCAGCACAAGAACCGCATGGCGCCGGGCGGCCGGCGGCCGGCGGCCGGGACCACCACCCCAGGTGGAAAGCAACCGGCGCACGGCGACGCGAGTCGCGCTCCCGGCACGAAGGCGGGTGGGGGAGGAGAGTCGGGAGCGCGCGCGCCGCCATCTTGTCGTCTGGCAGCCGCTATCGGCGCCATCTTGGAATCGGGCAGACGGCCTTTCTGCCCTCTAGCAAGAGACCCGGACTTGAAGCCTTTTCAGAAGCCAAGCTTCAGACGTTGCAGCTCTTTTCGAGGTCTGCTGATCTCAGGTGGGAACCAAGGCTCTAGCAGAGGCCTGTGCTCCCCCCTTTCTTCTTGCCCAAGTCAACACCTGGCTACTTGCAGCACTGCCTGGAGAGTTTCCACCTTGCCCTTCCAAGGATGGAAAGACCCAGAAGCTCCCTTCAGGTGTTCCATGGAGGACAGAACCTTTGGAGGCAGATCTTCGAATCCCTTGCTTTACCTAGCTAGTGTTGCCAGATAAATTACAGAACAGTTAAACTTGAACTTCAGGTAAACTATGAATAATTTACCATAAGGAATATTTATTATAACTGAGCATCCAGTAACTTGCTGTAGCTGGCAACCTTAACCCTACCTGTTAACTCAAGGAAGGAGGTTTTTGTTAGTCGGTTGGGGCTCAGAAAATGATAACCCAAAGTATGGCTCTTTGGCATGCTGAGTGCTTGGAACTAAATGACCATTGGAAGGCCTCTTCAGAAGCAGCCTCAGAACTGAAGTCTCACCTCCTGTCTTCTTGTCCCTCCCCATCCCAAGCATGATAGAGAAACTAGAATTTCTCTTTCCCAAAATGAGTCATGGAAACTGTAACTCCTTTTCCCCAAAGCCAGCCATAAAAACTAGAAATATCACTCTAACCTTCGCCTGCTTTTCTGTCTCCAGTCTGGCCATAAATACAATTTCTGACCCGCCCTTGTGCAGTAATAGGTCACAATGACACAGATCAGAGAGACCCAACTTTCCCTGAGGTTATCTGGCTAGGGGTTAAGCACTGTTTGGTGCTGTTGAGAATGTTAATTCTATGATAAGTCTTTATTTGTGATGTTTTTCCCTTTTAAATGATAGACAGCTATCAGACCCCTTGTGTCTGGCTGCCTTGAGTAGGGAGCTGTCAATCAAGCAGCCACTTTGACCATCTGAAGCAGGCTAAAATTAAGGAAGGATCAGGATTCTTAAATATATATGACTTAGCATTTTGCATTTCAAATTAAACATTCTCTCTTCTCTCTCTCTCTCTCTCTCTCTCTCTCCTCCTCCTCCTCCTCCTCCTCCTCCCTTCTTCCTCCCTCCTTTTCAATTTCAAATATGTGCAAAGTGACCCATCACCTTAGCCCAGGATTTCCCAAACCCCTCCCCACTCCCTGAATATTGGTGATCCAATCCAAAGCTGCCCAGGCCTTTCCACTCCCGTAAGTTAGCCCTGTTTTCAAGACTGCCTTGAAACAGAGCGCTGTCTCTCTGCTCCAGCTTCCACCCAGCCCATTGTGGCCTTTTGCAACTCCTTTCCCTAACCTTTAGTAAACTTATTATCACCCTGGATGATATCACCATGGATGCTTGGATGCATCCACGTAGGGTGTAAGAATCTGGTATTTTCTGTTTGACCAGCACCTATACCACGCAAACCAGACTGTTATCATGGCAGCCCAGCTGCTTTGACCACTTCACAGATTCTCTGTGGAAACTGTACTCCAGCTGCAAAACCACTGCAACCACAGCTGCTGCTGAATGACTTCCACGTCAGGAGGCCCTGCTCCAGTCATGACTGCTCCAGCCAGCATGCATCAGCTCCAGGAGACTTCACTTAGGTCAGGACAAGCCTTGGTGATTTCTCCATGACCTGCCCCATCTTGCACCTATTCTCAAGGATGGGGAGGTGGGGCAAGAGCACTTCTCCCAGTGACTCAGCAAAAAGGTCATGATTGGTGGAATCAGAAACTGACCACAGGCATGCCCTGCCCCCTTCTAGCTATATAAGCTGCCCATTTATCAGCCTCCTCGGTCAGTCCGGGAGGAGAGGAGCCCCCTGTGCACTACTCCTGGTGTTGCAACATTAGGTTCCAATAAAAGTCTCTCCTGAATGGTCTTTTATTTGCCATCTTTATCACAGGTAGAGTGGGCTGAACGGTTGCACAAAGAGCAGACAAAACCCTGGGACTTCCAGCCCCAGCAGCAGAAGCAGATAGGCATTGAATAGAGCTTCATAGAGCAGCCAGGAACAGAACACTGCAGAGAAACTGTGAATACTCAAGATGATGAGAACTGCCAACCCTAAACTGTCAAAGATTAAGAGCAGAGGGTCTCGCCAGCGGAGTGGCTCAAGTAATAGAGCACCTGCTAGCAAGCATGAGACCCTGGAGTTTAAACCCCAGTACCACCAAAAAAAAAAAAAAAAGCAGAGGATCTCAACACCAAAGCTCGGGAGCTTTAACACAAGCTGTTGAGTGCTGGGCTACTGGCATTCAAAGCTCAGAGCAAAAGCTGTAAGCTTCTAGCTTTGAAAGCTTAGAGCAATAAGCCTCTAGTTTATAAGCCTCAATGCTGCCAACACTAAGAAAGCTGCTTCTTGCCTATTCACAATTTCCATTGAAATTCAGCAAAGGAATCCTCAGCCAGCCATCTGTTAAATTAAAGCCCTCATTCCAGAGGCAGTCTGGCTTGTCCCCAAGAAGAATAAATGCTACAACAGTAAGACCCCGGTAGATTATCATAAAGTAAGTATCCAGTCCCATTTCTACAGGACTGACTTAGTCTTCATGGAATCTAAACATAAAGTAGACATTTTCTCCTATATCTGCGAGTCTTCATTCTGAAGGCTTTCATGTCACGTAAACTATAACTAAGTGAATTTATTATGTATTGTCTTATAATCTGTCTTTTGTTACAGGAGTGTTGTTCATGATCTTTATGAGAAGGAAGAATGGGATCACATTCTTCTATCCTTATGCTAACGTACTTGCAAGGCAACTCTTCCTCCCAAGACCTTTACCCACCCAGGGCTGGGCCATGAGTACTGACATTCCGTCACAGGGTAGGTGGAGCCACCCCAAGCCAGGAAAGGGCTTAGAATGAAGAAGGCACAGATTAGGAAGGAAGGTGTGCAACTGAGGAATGGGGCTCAGCATGGGGTGGGATGTCCCAGAAAAGATTCTCAGAGGGAATAGAGATCACCCACCTTGTCAGCAATTAGGTATTTTGGTGAAGAAGGATTTCTAAAACTAGTACAGAGCAAATTTTGAGCAGCCATCTGTGCTAAGTTAGTGCAGAGAGTATGGGTTTCAAACTTCTAATAAGAGGATGAAAAGATCAAAATAAATTTCAAGGTTTTTGGGGTTTTTTGTGTTTTTTTTTTTTGCAGTACTGGGGCTTGAACTCAGGACCTTCACCTTGAGCCACTCCACCAGCCCTTTTTGTGAAGGGTTTTTTGAGATAGGGTCTGGTGAATATTTGCCCAGGCTGGCTTCAAACCACAATCCTCCTGATCTTTATCTCCTGAGTAGCTAGAATTACAGGTGTGAGCCACTGTGTTCTTTGAACACAGGCGCCTGGCTATGTTCAAAGATCTTTACGTTAGGTTAACATACCAATGTTCAGGGGAACCTGGGCTGTTTGGCCAAGCAGTGACTCCCAGCTTCAGTCCTTATGACCATACTAGGTCAGCAAGTTATGTAACAGAAAAGTTCAGTTTCTTCATCTGTGAAATGGAGGTAAGATGTGTGTCACGTGGCTATGTAAAAGTGATGAGCACACTGCCTGGTTCACAGGAAGCGCTTCAAAGTGGTAGCCATTATTAATGGGATCACACAATTGTGGTGCAATAGCCATCATCTATCATCTCCTTGTATGTATCACAGAGAAGTGAGAAAAATGCATCATTAATCTGACTCCACGGATGATTCTTATATTCTAAGTGAGCTGCCATGGTTTTATTATAGCAAATCCTCAAGTGAGTTTTGGAGGATCTGAGAGAGCCCACCATTCTAGAGTTCATGGTGACAGTCATCAATTAGCTAACTAGCTCCCTCACCCCAACAGCACGTAATAACAAACCTTTCCTTCTTGTCTTGTTCTCTCCCTGACTTCCCCTACCTGAGGAAGGAGCCTGACTACTATGGGATTTGTGATTTAGAGAAGAGGCTGATTTGACTCATCTGGACGCTCCAACTTGGATGTCATGTGATTACTATTCCTTCCTTTTCGTTTTATGGTCTTTTCCTCTCTATGTTTGTGTTTTCGCTGAGTATTTGGACAGGTACATTTATGGATGTCAGAAATGTCTGTCCTCTTTGAATAAGTACTACATATACACCCTCTAGTGACAATTCCATACAATCCACCTTGACCATCTCACCACCAGGTGGCACAGGTGGCTCATTTGCAGTGAGAAGATTTGAAGTCTTCAGGTTTGTCCTGTTTTCTGTGAGGTTTTTAGGAAGTAGGGGAAAAAGTTGACATTATTGTCTTCTTTTAGCTGGGATTAAGTCTATCTGCCAATACATATGGCCTGTGACTGTTCATACAAGAGGTTGATAGTAATTGGAATTGTTCTATACAGCTGTATATCTGCACTCTGGCACTTAGTTTGACTTTGATAAATTTGCCTAGATTTTTTTAACCTGATGAGTCATGAGATCCTCTCTCCCCCTTCCCCTGCCCCCTCACACAGAGAGTACTCAGGCAAGTATTTATTTTGCATTAGATCACTGTGGCAAGCTACATTTTCCAAAGATGGCCACAACAATCCCCCAGCCCTCATGGAATTTTGTGACTGCCTGTTGATATAAGTAAAATTTAATTCTCCTTCCCAGCAGTACTAGGATTTGAATTCAGAGCCTCACACTTGCTAGGCAGGCACGTTAGCAATTGACCCATCTCACCAGCCCTGTTTTGTATTAGGTATTTTTTTCCCCTAGTACTGAGGTGTGAACTCAGGGCTGCACCTTGAGCCACTCCACCAGCCCTTTTCTGTGAAGAGTTTTTCAAGGTAGGGTCTCACAAACTATGAGCCTGGGCTGGTTTTGAACCATAATCTTCCTGGTCTCTCCCTCCTGAGTAGCTAGGACTAGAGGTGTGAGCCACCAGCACCTAGCTGCATTCGGTTATTTTTGAAATAGCACCTCGCTTTGTGCCCTCGCCGGCCTGGACCAAAA